ATTGCATTGTCTGATCTGAGGATCCAAGCGTTTGGTCCATTGCATTGTCTGCGATTTGGTCTAGTTTCATTGCATTGTCTGATCTGAGGATCCAAGCGTTTGGTCTAGTTTCATTGCATTGTCTGATCTGAGGATCCAAGCGTTTGGTCTAGTTTCATTGCATTGTCTGATCTGAGGATCCAAGCATTTGGTCTAGTTTCATTGCATTGTCTGATCTGAGGATCCAAGCATTTGGTCTAGTTTCATTGCATTGTCTGATCTGAGGATCCAAGCATTTGGTCTAGTTTCATTGCATTGTCTGATCTGAGGATCCAAGCATTTGGTCTAGTTTCATTGCATTGTCTGATCTGAGGATCCAAGCATTTGGTCTAGTTTCATTGCATTGTCTGATCTGAGGATCCAAGCATTTGGTCTAGTTTCATTGCATTGTCTGATCTGAGGATCCAAGCATTTGGTCTAGTTTCATTGCATTGTCTGCTGTGACTACCATGAGTTTCTTCTAATTTATTGACTGTAAATAGTTTTTAAAAAAAGTAAAGATCCCTTTTCATGCCTTAAGCATATGGGAAGAGCACCCATATTTTTACAGACCAATCGGCACTAAGTGGGTAATATGGTCAGCATTACGCCGGCCGTCTTTACTTCCCCAGGACATACATCCTGGTACCCATTTTAGGCTGGGTCGACCTGTGACGCCCCATACCATGATAAAAATCAACGCAGCCAGCAGTGGGTTTCGAGTGTGGTACGGTAGAATTATGAGTCAGACTTGCAAGGCCTAAGCCACGGATGCTACATTGACTGTCTGGTGTGGTTGTAAACATGGTCAGATTTCACCAAGGTGTCTAGTCCTGCCCCCCCCCCCCCCCCACCAATATGGTCTAGTTTTACCAAGGTGTCTAGTCCTGTCCCCCCCCCCCACCCCCACCAATATGGTCTAGTTTTACCAAGGTGTCTAGTCCTGTCCCCCCACCAATATGGTCTAGTTTTACCAAGGTGTCTAGTCCTGTCCCCCCACCAATATGGTCTAGTTTTACCAAGGTGTCTAGTCCTGTCCCCCACCAATATGGTCTAGTTTTACCAAGGTGTCTAGTCCTGTCCCCTACCAATATGGTCTAGTTTCACTAAGTTGTCAGGTCTTGTCCCCCCCACCAGTATGGCTATGTTTAAGTCTGATCTTATTGCCAGCTAGTGTGATCTCCTTCATAAGTTTCAGAACCATCAATTTTGTATTTTACCATATAGTTCACATACGTTTTAGCATAATCAGATTATGTTTTTAAATTCTTCACATCATTCAGGATCATCATATTCATGTTTTTAAATATTTCATTATCTTTAGAATCATCTATTTCACATTTTTAATGTTTTGCATCTTTCAGAATTGATAGTTTCTTTGTTTTAATATATATCAAATCTTTCAGAATAATCATTTTAACAATTTTAATGCTTCAACTGTTTTAAAATATAGTTTCCAATTCTTCATGTTTCACAGATTTATTTCACAGGTGCAAAATAAAACACTACTCAAAAATATTCCCAACACTTTAATTAAGCAGGAATATTTTTGATAATTTCTTTATGTGATTAGTTTATTATTTTATTTTCAAAACAGTATCCTTAGGAGACTCAGATCCTCCATCACATGCTGCAGAAAGTGCTTCTCTTGTACATGAAACTCATGTCCCATCATTCGCAGGTCTGTAGTTTTGCTATTGTTTGTGTGTCTGTACTTTGTAGTTATACACTCTCTGCCAGGAATATAAATTGGTGGGCATATTGTAAACAACTCCCGTTTTGCTGGTGAAATAGGTTTAATCACTGATAATAAAACAAAACTGCAAGAAATGATAGACATATTTGTAACAGAAAGTCAAAACAAGAGTGTTAATTTAAACAGCAGAAAAACAGAAGTAATGGTGATAACACAAAATATGGACCTTCCAAAATACACAGTTAGAGTAAATGGAACAAACCTCAAGCAAGCTGATAAGTTGAAGTACTTGGATACCCTGGCCAGTTGGATGATTAGTCAAAATCTTGTTGGAAGTTGTAGAGATGTGGTTTTTATAGATGAATGATGAGAACTCACTGGACAGATAAAAAGAGTAGTGAAGACGCCTTGAAAGAAAGTGACGCATAAAAAGAATTGATTGCCCATATCAGAATGAGACAATCTACATTCTTTGATCATATCATGAGAAGGAGAACACTGGAGTACATCGTGACAGTGGGAAAGCTGGAGAGGAAAAGAGGCAGAAGGAGACAGAGAGAAGATGCCGGATGTTTTGACAACATGGCATGAAAGATCATCTGTGTCATAAATGTCTGAAAGTACCTAAAACAGAAGGTTGTGGATAGACATGACCATCAATGCTACACATGGACTATAAGAAGATAAAGAGTCAATCATTTAACCCTTAGAAGCCTAAATCTAGCCACTTTGGTTTGTGTGCGCATCCCTGTAAATGCTGATATATGTCCTATCTGCAATGACATGTTCTCGAAAAGTCTAGTTAAATAACTCTGGCTCTGCTTGGCCCTGCCTAAAGTTTAATAGACCAGGATAAATATAGTAACTAAAAAAGCATTTATAGCAGTTCCTAGGACCCTATTGGCTTTTTAAAAGCCAGGTTGATAGGCTCCTGATTTTGTCAAATTTGCCTCAGTGATTGAGGTCACAGGGTCAAGACATAATTCACTCGGTACATTTTGTGTTTTTGTTTTGTTTGTTAACATTCCAAGAAATGTAATTCATTTAACTCTTGAGTCCCAGGGGGTTTAGCATTACAGGCCCAGGGGGTAGTAATGAGAGTCATAAAATCGGCGCATCATGCATTCATTGGGCTTCTAGGTTGGAACCTATGAACGTATGATGCATTCCTTGGGACTCAAAGAGTAAATGATTCACTGTTTGTGTTTTTTATTAACCCTTTATATATATTTTGTTTATATTTGTGGGAACAACAAAAAAATTAAACACATTTTTTTTTTAATTATTAGTGACCTGTGTAATATTTTTTTTTTAAAGATTCTTTCCGGAAAATATCTAGTTCATAACTATTTATTTTGGTATTCCTGAGACAAAATGGCTCAATAAATCTATAGAGTAGCTAGAAAGCTGGGCTGTCATGTGGGTAAGGTAATGGAGGGATATTTCTGTCATCAGGGACAAAATTGGATATTTTAACATGACTACTGCACCTGCCATGTTACCCTGTATCACCAGGCAGAACTCCCACCCTGCCCCTCATAAACTGCCATAAAAAGGGATATATACGGGGAGGAAAGGCAAAAGAATCTCCCCTGATAAGAAAACCTTCCCAGTTCTCTAATCAGGAATGTATATCGTCGTTAAAATTATCATTTTGAGTTATTGGTCATGGTTTCAATTCCATAGCAAACAGGTCAGCCCATAATTCCTGTGCTGGCAAACACCACACACAATGCCCACCATTGTCCCATGTGAAAAGTTCAAGTGGCAGAAGTCTCTGCAAATACCGACAGCCTGCACATATATTAAATGCATATGGCTACCATCAATTGTGCCAACACCAACAGTCCATAACCATACTTTAAGTTCGTTCATGTGATATTATTTTTTTTCTTCACTTGGTAGAGCCTCCAGCTGCTCCTGTGACCAGTGCTCCTCTTGAACATAGAACCAATATCCTTCAGTCTGCAGGTCTGTACATTTAGTTATGAATTTTATTATGGATTTTACATGTATACTGTATAGTTCTAGATGCTATCGTAGTCCAGCAACTAGCATGCTCACATGCCAGCTTTACCACAAGTTTGAATCTTCATCCAGACAATAATTTTTTTTTTTTTTTTACATTACAAGTTTGAATCTTTATCTAGACAAGAATTTTTGTTATACATATCCAAACCATTTGATGGAGGAAGATTTAAAACATTAGCATAAATAGGACCAACGTGTATGTGTATTCTCATATAAACTCTCATTTATTTGTACATCTTCACAATATAGACTGCAGTTCTTCCATTGCTCTTTTTGAGAATTTGTGGTGAGCCTAGAGTCTTATCCTTGTATATGACAGCCATGAGAAGTCTGTTCCTGAACTGACCACAGCTTAAATATAATCCTGATGAATTGAAGGTTTTGAAACACATTAATTAATCTCTATTATGACAAGAGGCAGACGCCATAAGTGAAGAATGATACAACTACATAAATGAATACTCAAAATAACTTAACGCTTTAGTGAAGCCTGTCATAGTTTCCATCTTGAATAGCAAAGGCAGTGCTCTCATTTACACTGTACAGAGTTACCTGGGTGTTGTTGCTTTTTTTAAATCTTGTAACTCCCCATGCAGATTGAAAAAAGATGTTTGTATGCTACAGTCTAATAACTGATAGTAATGTAGCGGGTACTTTGCAGTACGTTGCTCTCATCAGAGTCTGCCTGAAAGAAACTCTGTCTCTCGCCAGATCTCCCGCCTCATGTACTTACATACTCAGGGAGTCTCTTATATTCTGTGCCCATCTTCGCCTTGGTCAGCCCCTGCCCCTCTTTCCTGGTACCATGCCTACTGCAATAATCTTTTTCCAATCTGTCATGGCGCTTGAAATGACCAAATACTTCAGCTTCTGAGAAAGGATGCTGTTTATTAGCCAGTCTTCCTTGATGTTCAGATCTTTCAAGATTTCAGTATTTCTCCTCTTCTTTGTCCAAGATATTCTGAGAATCTTTCTATAGCATTTCAGCTCAAAAGTCCCTATTCTCTTTCTTAAGGACTGGGAGATAGTCCAGGATTCACATCCAAATGTTGCTACAGGGAAAATGCATGCTCTCAAAATTCTTATTTTGATCTGCTTGCTGGTGTTTAACCAAAGACTTTAAAGGCTGTTCAATCTTTGCATTGCTATGGCCATCCTCCTTTTAATTTCTGTCAAATAGTCTCCGTTGCTGTTTATTATAGAGCCTTGATACTCAAAGTTTTTTTGTTTTTTTTGGGTGGCAGCCAATTTTATCTGTGGACATTATTTTCATGTTTTTTTTTTAAATTCAAGAACAGGTTTTGATCTTCACTGTGCTTTTGGACAGACAATATTAAATGTTATGTTCCCTACACGCTGTTCGAAAGGACGACTGTGTCATTTGCGTAGCGAAGTTCCGGAATAGGGTTGCCACCAATTTTGAGCAAATCCTAACTGTCACAAGTCTGGTCATTTTTGACATTTCTCATTATATTTTCTGGGTATATATTGAATAGGTATGGTGAGAGAATGCACCCCTGCCTCACCCCCTTTTGCACCTCGAACCGATCAGATGTTTCACCAGCTTCTCTGATGGTTGCTTGTTTTTCATGATAAAGATTTACAATTAAATACACTAAATGCGCTGGAAACCCTATAGTTTTCATAATAGTCTACAGTTTCTAATGTTGGACACAGTCAAATGCCTTGCTATAATCAATTAAACATGAAGATCTACATTGTTTTCTCTACATTTTTCAAAAATTATTCTCATATTAAAGATGTCTTCTTTTTTTCTTCGATCCTTCTGTCAGAAAACTTATATCAGGAGGCCGGTAGCCTTTATGAAAGCTATCGTGCAATCCATGTCCTCTCGTGTACCATACAGTTCTGTCTTCCGTGTGGTTTGAACAGGCCAGATTGCATCTCTGTTGTCAGCATACAGTTGACAGTGTTGGAGCACATGCTCAGCATTTTCGGGTGCCACGCTGCAGGGACGCGTCTCCGTATTTCCTACACCGAAAAAATTTTACCATTGTTGACGAAATCTATTGTGCCCAGTCCTTAGTCTGAATATAATACACTGTCCCTCATTAGAGAGGCGATGAAGCGAGTCTTGGGGAGAAAAATCTGGTGTGGGTATCCAGCCACCTTTGTTGGATACTAGAAAGTATTATTGTTTTTGTCTTTTGGTGGGTTAAGTCGCTATTTGGTTGTACCATGTCACTGCCGCTTCTGGCCAATCTGTCCGCTATTTCATTGCCTTCCAAGCCACAGTGACCTGAAATCCACTGCAGTACAGATTGTTCTACTGAAGAGCCCAAGTTAATCAGAAAGATGTGATCCCTAGTTCCTCTACCCTGTCTGGAACCCGCTAGTGCTTTATGTAGCTCATATTGTAATTTCCTTTCAATCCTCTTCATGATAATTAATAAGAGGATTTTGCTAGCATGGTACGGTAGTTGTAGCATAGATTCAGATTTCCTTTCTTTGGAAGAGGAATATAGATTGTTCTTTTTCCATGCTTTAGGTCAAATGCCACTCTTCCTGATCCTCGAGGACAGTGCGTGGTAGATTCGGACGCTGGCCTCTCCTCCTGCTTGAATTAGTTCTGCTGGTATTTTGTCGCAACCTGGTGATTTTCCTTTTTTCAGGCTGTGTAATGCTGATCGTACCTCATCCAGTAAAGGCTCTGGTTTTTTTTCATAACTTTCATAAGTTGTTTTGTCTAATAACCACTACCTTTTTTATCTCCAGGCGTGTATGAGGTAGAGCTGAACTGGCAAGGAGAATCAGAGCTACACAAGTTCAAGCAACATTGCCAGAAACATCCAAAACATGAACAGTTTATACCTGTTTCTGAATTTGCTGAAAAACATCTTCCAGCTTTGTACAAACATAATTTAATTATCGACCTTGTAAATTGCCTTTCAACCTTGACAGTACGACTTCGAGTTGACAAGATCAGTCTCTTTCGACCAGAACCTCCATACCCGCCAAATCCTCGGTTCGATAATTTTGGTACCGACTGTTCTATCAATGGGACAGGTCATGTTAGTAGTACTGTGTTATGTTTAAGCGGGGCAGATAATTCAGAAGGGGCAGATAACCGTTGTGCTTGTGCCGAATGCCTGGAATCTGGCATTCCTGTGCAAAGATTTGGTAAAATTTTTATTCAGACTGCCGCCCATGTGGTGCATGATGACACCGAGGCTGCTAACACGACATGCTTTTTTAATTATGTAAATGATAATGATGGCCTGGATACTATCATTAAGATCCAAGGGGCGAAAGGGGTGCAGACTGACGTGACTGAAGACCGATGTTGGATGTTTTGTTACACCCATGACATTTCTTTGGTAAAGAAACTAAAGAATATGACAGAGAAATATCAAAACTTGCGAAAAGAAGTCAGTGAAAAATACTGTGTGAACTGGTCGGACGAACCTGAGGAGAAACTAACAATTATTGTCTCACATCCACATGGGTGCAGCAAGTATGTTACCATAGGCAATATGGAAGGTAGGCTGGCTGCACAAGATGATGAGGACTGGACTCAGTACACCTACACAACTCCCACATGTCCTGGTTCTAGTGGTGCTCCGATCTTCATGCTGGGCAAACATGGCTACCTGGACAACCACCACCACAGTGGTACTGTCCCCGACTCTGGACTCAATGTCAGCACTTTTGGATTGTTCTAACTCAGATTAGTGCTCCTGAACCTGGGGCCCTTCTCCTAGAATATTTTGGGGGCAAGGGGAAGGAAAATGGAGGGCTGGTTGAGATTCTTCTTGCCCCTACATTCAACTGCTGCTAATCTTAAACCACAAACACCTTCAAAATAGCAAAATTCTTTATTTTGTGTGTCATTATATATGTATGTATATATCCTCCTTTTGTGCCGTTATATGTCACATAAGTCCTCGTAGTTAATTCTTCCACCCGTTTTATTCTGTGCAATTGTTTTTCAAAATCATGGATGGATTCTAGTCCAGCACTTTTGGCCTCTCTTGTCAGTGTTTATTGGGGTTAATCTGAGACATTCTTGTATTCTCAGGCAATTTGTTTACCATTTCAGTTCCTATTTGGTGATTATCTGCTTCCTCTCAGGATGTGCCTCATTTATTGTTATCTTCTTTGTTTTATAACCATGTCGTAAGAGTCGACTAATTGGGAGCTTCCTTCCAAGTCTGAGTATATCTGCCTGAGAGGCAAGGAACCAACAGTCTGCATACAAATTAGTCAGATCTGTCAATTGGATGCACATGCAACACTCAGGTTCTGGAACAGGACTGCAGTCCAGAAGTGGACGAACAACCAGAACTTTCCGCTGGAGTTTACAGCTGGTGAACACGAAGAAGAAGAAGAATGTGAACCCTGGTTGCCAAAGTTTAGTTGAAACTTTCATTGACAGAAACTGAACATCTCCTGCAGAGAGAGAGAGATAAGTTTAGTTTCGATTCTAAAGTTCGTGGCTTTTTTAACTGCCATTTTCTGTTAAGTCCCATTCACGGAATCAGATGCAAGATAAATTAAATATACATGATGCGAGATCACATCAGCTTTGTCTGAAAATCCATAAAGGAAAGACAAAGATAATGAGAATAAATCCGGCAAATAGTAATGTGGTTTCTCTTAATGGCACTCTACTGCAAGACGTGGAGTCGTACACCTATTTGGGCAAAATGTAGATACAGATGGAGGAACTGATAAAGATATTAAAACAAGAATACAAAAGGCAAGAGGGGCTTTCATAGCATTAGGAGATTTTTTGAGGTCAAAAGAAATTGAAAGAAAGACTAAACTGAAAATGTTTAATTTTTATGTCAAATCAGTACTTTTGTATAGGGCGGAAACATGGAGAAGAACTAAGGCAATTACTAATAAATTACAGACATTCATTAACTGGTGCCTGCGCAAAATAAAGGGAATTAAAAAGTATGATAAAATAACTAATGTAGAGCTTTGGGAGAGAACTAAACAGGCTCCAGTGGACCAAGAGGGGAGGAGAAGATGCTGGCAATGGATAAGACACACACTAAGAAAACAGGAAAACAGCATAACTAGAAAGTCTTTGAATTGGAACCCACAGGGGCATGGGAATAAAGGAAGGCCCAAAAAACACATGGAGAAGAGAACTGGAGAATAAAGTTAGAAAGATGAGGAGGACATGGGGAGAGCTCCATGCAATGGCGAAGGATACAACAACTTGGCGTGAGTTGGTTGAGGGCCTATGCTCCATTGGGGGATAGAAAGGCAGAAGAAGAAGAATCTTCTGTTAAAATAATTGTGCCATCTCCACGGCGGATCGGCTGCTGTCTTTGGGAGCATTACTTGAGGTACTACTGTCTAAAAGAAATGAAAACCTTTATTATTTTTTTTAAATCACCCACTGCAGAAATTATACCTTCACACAATGAAAATTGTGCAGTGTGTTCACTAACTTCTATTCCATTTAGGGACACTGTGTCCATATATTGATTTTAAATACAAATTAAATATTAGGCATTAACATGTATGTAAAAACTTATACAATATTGTTTTGTTCAAGGGCATTATTTTATGTTGGTTTGTATGTACGAATCATTATCATATGTTGTTTTTTAATGTACAAACTCATTTTTATACTCCGCTTTTAAGAACAATCTAATAATAAGATGTTTATTTTTATGTACAAACTCATAATCATATGTGGAATTTTATTACAAACTTATCATCATATGTTAATTGTTTGTGTTCAAGCTAATAATAATCAAATATTGATTTTTAGGTGTAAAAAACATTTTTTGTGTGTGGAAAATTAATCATTATTAGCTTGTTTTTGGTACAAATTACTAATGATATGTTATATTTTTTGTACATAATAATAATGATATGCTGATTTGTATATCATCAATTCTCTTTATGCCTAGTGGTACATGAGGCTTTTGATAGGACTTTCCTTGCTTTTTTGTCCTGTGCAATCTTGAGTGCAGTTTTCCATGTCAAAGATGCCGTACTCAGGTCACTTTCCATCGTTCGTCTCCATGTTGTTTTTGGGCGCCCCTTCTTTCTGTAAGTATGTGTGTGTATTTAGGTATGTATACACGTATGTATGTATGTGTGTTAAGATGTAAGTGTATGTATAGATGTGTGTATGTATGCATGTATGTGTGTGTATGTTTTTATGTATGTATGCATGTGAGTGTAAATGTGTAGTTGTGGGTGTATGTGGATGTCTGTACATGTGATTGTGTGTGTGTGTATGCATGAATGTATGTGTAGGTGTGTATGTATGTAATGAATGTGTGTGTGCATGTATGTCAATATGTGTATGTGTGTGTCTTTTCTGTTTGTGTATGTATGTAGATGCGTGTATGTATGTATTAGGTATGTCTGTATATGAATGTGCATGTATGAGAATGTAAGAGTATATATACGTGTGTGTGAGTGTGTAAGATTGTGTACACATGATGTGTGTATGCATTATTCTATGATGCATATTTCTTTATTATATCCACAACATGCATTATAGATAACAGGTATTGGTACTCTGAAAAATGAGTGCTTAGAATGGCCGAATGTCAGACGGGTCTGCGTGCCCAATTTGTAACCCTTTGAAAATAAAGTGTGTTCTTCGTTTATTAGTTCCGTCTGGTGTTAGTGAGAGCTGTTTTGGCAGGTATACCAGGATTCATTCTCATAACGTGGCTAGGCCATTTCCATCTTCTCTTGGTTATCATACTGTCTAAAGTTTCTTGGTTTGGAACTTGAAGTAGTTTAGTCTTTGAGATTGTATCTGGCCAGAAAACCATTTTCCAGCATTCCACCCCATAAAGAAGAACTGGCAAAATTATGCACTACACTACAAGATATATGAAATGTTCTACATTTTCGAGTATTTTGTTATGTATGGTCACTGGTTGTTAGTTTGGACTGTTTGTCATGATCTTAGTTTTCCTTGTATTTATTCTAAATCCCACCATTTCTGCTGTGCTGTGTAGTCTGTTACTTTTCTCTTGTATATGTTTATGTTTATGTGATAGGAGTGCTTTATCATCTGCAAAAACAAGGTCCTCAAGCATGGTGAATGGAGTCCATCGTATGCCTCTCAATGTCTTGTCTACTGTGTTCTTTAGTATCCAATCAATCACAAGGTTGAAGAGGAGAGATGACATAACACATCCCTGTCTTACACCTGTCTTTACTGGGAAAGATGTACCATAATTTTTTATACTGCAGGAAAAGTCTTTATAGAAGAAAGAAATTATGTTGACTATTTTTTCTGGAATTCCATAGTGTCGTAATATTTTCCAGAGACTGTCTCTATGGACGCTGTCAAAAGCTTTCTCAAAGTCCACAAAATTAATATATATACTTCTCATCCATTCATTGCAATGTTCTAAAATGTTACGTAAAGATATGCTCAGCTGTGCCTCTGCCCTTTCTTAATCCACTCGTAGGCATTTATCTACTCCTTTTTTCGAGTGGCATTATGATGATTTTACAAAAAATTTTCTTGGTTTGGAGATATACATGAAAGCTTGTGTATATTCTTGTGAGGAAATAGTATTCCTCCTATAACAAGTCTGTTCGCCGTGCAGAAGTCGCTTGTTGTTACCAACTTTTGCATTGAGATCTCCCATAATGCATAGAATATCATGGGCTGATACTTTATCTACTACCTCTTGCAGTCTCCTATAGAATGTTTCTTTATCTTCATCTTCAGCTTCATTAGTCGGTGCGTAGCATTGGATGACTGTGAGTTTGGCATGTTCCCCATTGAATCGTGCTGTCATTATTCTTTCATTGATTGGATGCCACTCGATGAGATGTTTGTGCATACCTTTCTTTAAAATGAGTACCAAAAATAAAATAAAAACAGATCATGTGGCAGTATGCACAGCAGAACTAGTCGGCATAATGAAGGCACTAGAGATAGTAATAAATAAACCTCCTACAAAATTCACCATACTGACAGATTCGTTGTCCTGAGTACAAACGTAAAAAACTCATAAAACTAGCAGTAGACCAGATGCAAAAGAACAGATTTTAAACCTGACAACCTAACTCAAGAACAAAGGATGCCAAGTCACCATTGCATGGGTACCAGCTCACATAGGTGTAAAAGCAATGAGAAAAAAAAAGCCAAAAAAGGAGCTAAATGTGATGCTGTAGTAGAAGAAACATTCGGAAAAACTAAATAGAAATAGCATAATCAAAAGACATATCATTAAAATGTGGAAACTCCAATGGCAGATGAGCACTAAAGGCACAGATGCATACAACAACCTAAAAAAAAAAAACCAGCCTTAACACACAGGTACGAGACTAACTGAAAATCCCAGCTAACAAACTATTATGGAGAGTTAGGTTAGGGTGACATCCAGATAAATTTACATCCCCTCTATCTATGTCTGGACTGCTTTCAGGATAATACAATTGAACATTATATGATAAACTGCACTAAATACAAATTGGAGAGGAAACCCATTGAGAAATGTTTTCAAAAACACAAACAACAGATTACTGCAAACAAATTTCTACAGGTGGATAGCAATAAAGTCATCCAAAAACTTATTCAATAGTATCTAATCAAAACAAACCAAAACTTTAAAAAATCAGAACAGGTCAGGTGGTGACTCCGGACACCCTAGCTTAAGGGAGGTAGTGTTAGTATGATGGATGCATAGATGTGAGCACGTGTGGATACACAAGGAAG